TCAAAAGTGCTTTTGTTCTCATGGTGTCATAGATTTCCTTTTGTTTTTCTTTCTAGTTCCTCATTTTTTAAATATATAGATATTTTTGCAGTTGGAGTGTGAGAAAAATCTTAGTTTTAAGAATATCTTTTTAATACATAATCACTTCTGAAAGATGCCTTTGTGGCATCCTATAACCAACTCACATCATTCCCTTCTGTACATGTGTATATTTCAGTTATGTTCCCATTGACCTCAGAGTTTGTTAGCTTTTTTTAAAAAAAACAATTTAAAAATAGTTTCAGTTTGAAATTAGTTGCATCTGGTTCAGATCGAGGTCTGCATGCTTTCTAGATTTTATTATTTATTGGAAACCTTTGGTACCTCATACAGAAGTTTTGATTGTTTCAGTGTGTACCCGGTAAAGACGTCGGGGACCTCTTACCAAAACATGAAAGTGTAGTTTAACCAGTTAGTCTATTTTTCAGTTTTCTTTCCTTAATGTCATTGTTAAAATCTTGAGTTGTAAGCTATTAAGTACATGTTTCCCTCAAGGCCATCTAGTGCATTTGGACAAATGTTGACAGATGGGTCAGATTGGCATGGAATGCTGTTCCAGAAGCACTCCTGTATTTTTTTTTTTGGACAGTTTCACTCTTGTTCCCCAGGCTGGAAGTGCGATGCTGCCATCTCAGCTTGCTGCAACTTTTGCCTCCGGGGTTCAAGTGATTCTCCTGCTTCAGCCTCCCGAGTAGCTGGGATTACAGTTGGCTGCCACCATGCCTGGCTCATTTTTTGTATTTTTAGTAGAAACGAGGTTTCACCATGTTTACCAGGCTGGTGTCAAAATCCTGACCTCAGGCGATCCACCCACCTCGGCCTCCCAAAATGCTGGGATTACAGGCGTGAGCCACCGTGCCTGATCACCCACATATTCTTGATTAAAACAATTTGCTTATGTCTTAGTTCTACAGCTGACCTTCTTTCACTGTTTTCAAGGTCAATAGCTATATGTTCACACTTCTGCATTTTATGGATGTTACTGTGATTTTTTTTTATTTATTTATTTTTTGAGACGGAGTCTCGCTGTGTCACCCAGGCTGGAGTGCAGGGGCGTGATCTCGGCTCACTGCAAGCTCCGCCCCCCGGATTTACACCATTCTCCTGCCTCAGCCTCCGAGTAGGTGGGACTACAGGCGCCTGCCACCACGCCCGGCTAGTTTTTTGTATTTTTAGTAGAGACGGGGTTTCACCATGTTAGCCAGGATGGTCTCGATCTCCTGACCTCGTGATCCACCCGCCTCGGCCTCCCAAAGTGCTGGGATTACAGGCGTGAGCCACCGCGCCCGGCCGTTACTGTGATTTTTTTAAAGGAAGAATTAAATGTCAGGAATTAAAGGCATCAGAACCTTGTAAAAGAAGTTTCTTTAGCCCAGGCATGTGAAAGATGCTTCTCTAATTTTCAAGGATAGGGTGATAAAGACCAACCCTTCCCGTTAGTCCTTCCAGGCCCCATGTAAGAATTCAGGCACACCTTCTCACTCATCTCAGACCTTCTCAGGATAACTTGGTGAATATGTCCCTGCTCTGAGCCCCAGTGAGCCTCCCTGCAACTTGGCGATGAGGGGCTAGACCAGAAAAGCTCAACCCGAGCGACGCTGACCCCTGAAATGATTGGCAAAATAGAGTGTGTGCCTGGGCGTGGCTTTTCATCTGGGAGAGGGGAGTGCCCAGTTGTAACTAGAATTTTAAATGGGATGCAGTACCCTAAAAATGAAGAAAAGCAGAAGAATGGAAGAAACAGAAGTGTAGGCTCAGACACAGAGAGCATCTTCGGGGCCTTTCTCTGTATGAGGATATCACAGCGAAATCTAAAGCAGGTCGTGTCAGTCTCTGGCAGGGAACCCTCCACTGGCTTCCCGTGTTCCCCAGGACAAAAGCCCAACTCCTCACTGTGGCTCCACAGCCCTGTGTCCAGGGCCCCTGCCAGTGTCCAGCCTCCTCCTGGGAGCTTGCCCTCCTCTCCCGACTCCGTCTGCCCCAGTCACAGTTTTTTTAATTTCCTCAAACACCAAAACCTTTTCTGTCTCAGGTCATTGTCCCTGCTCTTACCCTATGTCCCTAAATGATCACCGCATTGTCCCTTTCTCCTCCTTCAGGTCTAGGCTCAGAGCTGTCTCCCATGCCCTCCCACTACCTTCTGAAGTTCCCTCTGCCCATCAGTCTCTATCACGTTACCCAGGTTTTATTATCTCTGCATGAATCATATCAGAAGTGCTTTTTTTTTTTTTTTAAGACAGACTCTCACTTTATTGTCCAAACTGTGAGTGCAGTCTCGTGATCTTGGCTCACTGCAACCTCTGTCTCCCAGCTTCAAGCGATCCTTGTGCCTCAGCCTCCCATGTAACTGGGATTACAGGTGTGTGCCACCACACCCGGTTAATTTTTGTATTTGTATTTGTATTTTATTATATTTTATTTCTGAGTCTTACTCTGTCACCCAGGCTGGAGTGTAGTGGTGTGATCTTGGCTCGCTACAACCTCCACCACCCGAGTTCAAGCAATTCTCCTGCCTCAGACTCCCGAGTAGCTAGGATTTCAGATGCCCACCAAGCCAGGCTACTTTTTATGTTTTTAGTAGAGACGTGGTTTCACGATGTTGGCCAGGCTGGTCTCGAACTCCTGACCTCAAGTGATCCACCAGCCTCAGCCTCCCAGAGTGCTAGGATTACAGGCATGAGCCCCTGCACCCAGCGCAATTTTTGTATTTTTAGTAGAGATGGGGTTTCACCATATTTGCCTAGATAATCTCAAACTCATGACCTCAGGTGATCCACCTGCCTTGGTCTCCCAGTGTGCTGGGATTACAGACGAGAGTCACTGTGCCCGCCCAGAAACACCCTTCTGCGTGGATTACTTTGTGTGTTGGGTCTCCCTTACTTGAAGGATACACATTTCCCATCTTGGCCACAGGACAACTGCAGCATCTACTCTAGGGTTGTGGTTTAGAGGCTGAGGCATCCTCAGGGAAGACTGAGGGGCTGGGGCAAATGTGAGGATGGTCCCACATTTCATCTGGAAATTTCCACTCTAATTGATCTGAACTTCCTGTGGCTATTTATTTCAGTCAAAATAAGAGGAGAAGGCCTCACTGAGGTCAGAAAAGCCCTACAGACCAGACCTTGTGTCCTCAGCCAATCCCGAGGCATTCCCATTTTTGCCGTCTGTGTCACCGCCTCACTCCAGCTCCCGAGTCTTCCGTGCTCTGCGCATCACCAGGGCCCAGTTTGGCCATTATGGGCAGGGGCTTTGCCACCAGCAGGTGATGTGCTCAGAGGCAGGGTCCTGGGTTCCCTTCAGGAAGAGTGGGGAGAAGATCAGGGTGCTGAAGGGCATGAAGGACACACCCCTACACAACTAGTTCTGTTCTGGAGGAGCTGGAGGCTCCATGACTTCAGGAAAGATTCTTCCAAGGATCAGAGTGCAAATAGCACAGTGAACCACAACCTGAGGGCCACCTCCTCCTGCCAGGCCAGTGGCGATGACTCTCTACTGGCTTTTCCTTGCCTGTCACAGCACGTGAGCACACACACACACACACACACACACACACACACACACAGAGTCACACACACACACAGTCTCACACACACACAGTCACAAGGCAGCTGAGGAGCCGAGGGTCAAGTCAAGATGCTATAATGTAAATGTTGGACTGGGCATGGTGGCTCACCCCTGTAATCCCAGTTACTTGGGAGGCCAAAGATTCACCCCAGTCAGCCTCCCAAATAGCTGGGACCACAGATGCACACCACCATACCTGGCTATTTTTTGTACTTTTCTTAGAGACAGGGTTTCACTGTGTTGCCCAGGTTGGTCTCAAACTCCTGGGCTCATATGATCTACCCATGTCAGCCTCCCAAAGTGCTGGGATTACAGGGGTGAGTCACCACACCCAGCCCATCCTGCAAATTCCTAGAGAAAAAAACCAATGCCAGTCTGTTAACCCTTCCAGGCCATCACATGGGAATGAGCCACACCTCCTTCCCACTCAACTCAGAGCTTCTCCGGATAACTTGGTGAAATGTCTCCTGCTCTGAACCTCAGTGACTGCACCTGTAATATACGGGTGACAAATAAGACCAGAAAAGCTCAGTCAGAGTGACACTGGCCCCTGAAATGATTGACCAAATAGTTTGTGGCTTTTTCTATAGGACAGGGTAATGCTCAGGTGTAATATGAATTTTAAATAAATTACTGTTCTCCAAAAATGTAAAAAACACAAGTACCAGAATGGAAAAAACAGGGAATTAGACTCAAATCATCTTGAACCTCTCCTTGTCTCTGTCCACACCCACTGCCCTTCTATACCATGTCATTTCACAACTTTAACCCACCTACACAACTCCATTTTCCCCTGCAGGCCCTCTCCCCTGAGCTCTACAATCCTGTGTCCCGTTGTCTCCTCAGCTCTCTGCTGGGACATCAAACAGGCGTCTCCACATTCACATTTCCGTAGGTGATTTCCTAAACCCCAAACACATTCCCCTGCAGTCCTGTACATCTCAGATGAGGGTGACTGTGTACTTCCAGGGACTTAGCCAAACTTGACAGCATGTATTTTAAATATGGGAAATGAATTCCGTTATTTGTAAATGTTGTAATTTATAACGTAAAGAGAAAGTTGCGTGTATACATGAAAGGAGTGAGAAAATACATCATTTCCAAAATTCTTTTGAAGTGTGGGAGAAAAATATTTCAAGACCTCATCCCTATGGATCTGTGCTCCCAGGACCCCTCTGACCTCACCTCCTGCATGCGTCTTCCTGGCTCCCTCTGCTCCAGCCACGCAGGCCTCTTTCCTTTTTCTGGGGCTGAGGTTGCTCCTGTCTCAGGGCCTTCACCTGTGCTGTCCCTCTGCCTAGGATTCTCTGTCCCATCAGCTGCAAGTGACAAGCAGCCTTTCTTCCCTAAGTCTTTGTTCTGACATCACTTTCTCTATGGAAACCTTTGTGATCTCCCCAACCCCCCATTTGACATGGCAGCCCCACCTTCACCCCCACCTCTGGTCCATGTTGCCTGTTCTGTGTGATTCTTTTTGCTCCTTCGCTGTTCACTGGATCCTGGTGGGAACAAATCCCCAAGGGGAGAGCAGAGCCAGAAGGTGGGGCTGTGCTGGGCTGGCGCCCTCTGAGTGGAGCTCAACCCTGACTTTACATTGGGGTTCTCAGGCATTCTGCAAATACATCTTTTATGCTGTTCTGTCAAAGATTGCTATTATCATAGGATGGGACTCATGCTCACTAATACTTACAATGGCACTGGTGATTCTCATCTGTGTCTATTGTATTGAACGTATTGAACGTCAGGGCACTTTCCTCCATGTTGAGATCTGAGATCGGCCTGTGATCCACAGGGAGGTGAGGGGGGTGCAGTGGTTCACCCCTGTAATCCCAGCTCTTCAGGAGGCTGGGGTGGGCAGATATCGAGGTCAGGAGATCGAGACTATCCTGGCCAACACAAAATTAGCTGTGTGTGGTGGCACATGGCTGGAATCCCAGCTAGTCGGGACACTGAGGCAGGAGAATCTCTTGAACTGGGGAGGCGGAGATTGCAGTGAGATGAGATCATGTCACTGAACCCCATCATGGTGACAGAGCTGGACTCCATCTCAAAAAAAAAAATTAAATGTCATATTTTTTTTCTCACACAGGATTAATTTCCAAAGACTCATGTTACATGAGGAAGCCACCACGAAGAGCAAAGAAAAGGATCCAGGGATGGCTCTTCCTCAGGTGAGTGATATTCCCCGGTGGATTGTGCTGCCTCTTTCCTTTCTGAAATGCCAGGTGTTGTGGTAGCCAGTCTTCTGTGAGTCTGAAGCGTCCTGCCTCACACGTTTGCTCGCACTCACCCATGCCTTTTCTCATTCCCTCTCATCTTAAATTCCGTCTCCCTTTATTGCCCAGGCTGGAGTTCACTGGAGCACTCTGGGCTCACTGTAACCTCCACCTCCCAGGTTCAAGAGATTCTCAGGCCTCAGCCTCCCAAGTAGCTGGGATTACAGGCGTCCACCATCACATTAGGCTAATTTTGTATTTTTAATAGAGACAGGATTTCACCATGCTGTCCAGGCTGGCCTCAAACTCCTGACTTCACATAATCTCCTTGACAGTTTTTCACTGTTACCAAGAATACCACACTGGCTGCCTGTGGGCATGGTGACTTCACTGCAGACATCTGGAGCTTTCCTACAAGTTGGGGTATTGAAAAGCTGATTGCAGGCCAGGCGCGGTGGCTCATGCCTGTAGTCCCAGCACTTTGGGAGGCTAAGGCGAGTGGATCACGAAGTCAGGAGATCGAGACCACCCTGGCTAACATGCTGAAACCCCGTCTCTACTAAAAATACAAAAAAATTAGCTGGGCGTGGTGGCGGGCGCCTGTCATCCCAGCTTCTTGGGAGGCTGAGGAAGGAGAATGGTGTGAACCCGGGAACCAGAGCTTGTAGTGAGCGGAGATTGCACCACAGCACTCCAGCCTGGGTGACAGAGCAAGACTCCGTCTCAAAAAGAAAAAAAGAAAAGAAAAGCCGATTGCTTCTTCTTGGAGTTGTCATTTCCTCTTTTAGATGTGGGAAGATTCCATCCCTGCCCCCAGCTGCAGAGGTGCCCTCTCTGACTAAGAACATGGGAAATTTCCCACGCATTAAGCAAAGCTTACTACTGTGGTCTTATCACTATGATTCTTACCACCATGGTCTTACCACCTCAATTCTCCTGCCTCAGCCTCCCGAGTAGCTGGGATTACAGTCGCACACCACCACACCTGGCTAATTTTTTGTATTTTTAGTAGAGATGGGTTTCACTATGTTGGCCAGACTGGTCTCAAACTCCTGACCTCATAATCTGCCCGCCTCAGCCTCCCAAAGTTGTGGGATTAGAGGCGTGAGCCACCGCCCGCCCAGCCGAGAACTATCTTGATAATATTACGGGGGCTCCCTCTTGACAGTGACAGTTAGCTCTTCTTTTGGCTGTTGTTAGGATTCTCTATCTCTGAATTTTGACAGTTTTATTATGATGTTGTCTGTTGTAGGTCTCTTAGATTTATCCTAGTTGGATATTCTTAAGGTATTGAATTTGTTTCTTTTGCCTTCTGAAATTAGAAATTTTTGGCCATTATGCCTTGCAACAAGCTTTTCTATTCCTTTGTTCCTCTCACTCACTTCTGTGACTTCTGGTACTCTTTTTTTTTTTTTTTGAGATGGAGTCTTGCTCTGTTGAGGTATTGTTCCTCACAAGACAGCATTAGCTGCGGGGGTCTGCGTGCCGACCCTGACCTAAACCATGTATGAATAAAACATACACTGACACACAGATAATTCTGTTTGGCTAGTTCTGCTGTGTTTCCCGACCACTAGCCTTAAGCAACTATCTTAACGCTTTTATATGCTGTTTCCAACTTTCCCCAGAACGTGGTAACCTAGAGTGGGCACCAGTGACTTACTGATTACTCACTGACTTGACCACATGGTCCTTCTTTGCCTTCGTTTTCGGGGGTCGCGTTCCTCACGCTTCCATCACAGCTTTCCTCTTGAGGGCGGTCCTCACCCTTCCTTTGCAGGTTGCCTCAGGAGGGGCTTGAACTGCTGGGGGTCTGTTTCTGCAGATCCCTGACTTTCCTCACACGGGGCACCAACTGAGGTATTGCTCCTCACAACAGGGCATTAGCTGCAGGGGTCTGCCCACAGTCCCTGGTCCAGACGGATGAGTGAAACGTACACCGACACACAGACAGACACTCTGCTTTGCCAGTCCTGCTGGGTGCCCAGTTGCCTGCACACCAAGAGAGGTTTGTCACTGCAGTGGCCCTGAGCAGCTCACACTCCAGGCATTTATGTAGCATTGAATTAACAACAGAAGTTTGAGTAAACACACTTGAGGATAATTAACATGGTTAAGAGAGTGGTTTTATGAATGATTAAAGCCCAGGTACTGTGGTCTAAAGTAAATACCATTAAGGGACAATTTCCCTGGTCAGCCTCCCCCTAGAGTGCCATGTGGCTCAAAGGTTAGTTACTGGAGGCAGGGTAAACAGACACAACTGGGGAAGCCTCTGTTGTCCCTAGTATTTACCCTATGACCTAATGCTGTAAGGTAAGAGCCGGCTGCCTTCAGCCTGTTCAATTACTACAAGCTATGTAACCTTTTGGCCTTCCAAAAGGTTTGTGACTATTCCCTATAACTTTCCCTAATATTTCCCTTTAATATTTCTGCCCCTATCTTGAGTAAATCCCAACACTGTTGCCCAGGCTGGAGTGCAGTGGTGTGATCTCACCTCACTCCAGCCTCTGCTTCTGGATTCAAGCAATTCTCTCACCTCAGCCTCCCAAGTGGCTGAGATTACAGGTGCACACCACCACACCTGGCTGATTGTTGTATTTTCAGTAGAGATGAAATTTCACCATGTTGGCCAGGCCGGTCTTGAACGCCTGACCTCAGGTGATTCCCACACCTGGGCCTCCCAAAGTGCTGGAATTACAGGCGTGAGCCACAATCTGGCCTGGGACTTTCCTAATGTGTTAGGATGGTGTCCTTGCTGGTGTCCTGTTAGTCTGTTTAGACTCCCTTCATTTTTCTTTATTCTTTGTTGTTGTTGTTTCTTTTCCTATTCACTACTTTTTTTTTTTTTTGAGATGGAGTTTCACTATGGTTGCTGAGGATGGAGTACAAGGTCACAAACTCGGCTCATTTTAACATCCACTTTCATGGTTAAAGCAATTCTCCTGCCTTAGCCTTTTGAATAGCTGGGATTACGGGCATGTACCACCATGCCCAGCTAATTTTGTATTTTTAGTAGAGACAGGATTTCTCTATGTTGGTCAGACTGGTCTTGAGCTACTGACCTCAGGTGATCCATCCGCCTCGGCCTCCCAAAGTGCTGGGATTACAGGCATGAGCCACCAAGCCTGGCCTTTCTTTTTTTTTTTTTTTTTTTTTGGAGACAGAGTTTTGCTCTTATTGCCCAGGCTGGAGTGCAATGATGCAATCTCGGCTCACCGCAACCTCCACCTCCCAGGTTCAAGCGATTCTCCTGCCTTAGCCTCCCAAGTAGCTGGGATTACAGGCATGCACCACCACACCCAGCTAATTTTGTATTTGTAGTAGAGATGGGGTTTCTCCATGTTGGTCAGGCTGGTCTTGAACTCCTGACCTTGGGTGATCTGCCTGCCTCGGCGTCCCAAAGTGCTAGGATTACAGGCATGAGCCACCACACCTGGCCCACGCCTGGCCTTTTTTAAAAAATTATTTTATTATTTTCTTTTGAGACAGTCTCACTCTGTCATCCAGGCTGGAGTGCAGTGGGAAGCCCACCACTACACCCTGCTAATCTTTGTATTTTTAGTGGAGACAAAGTTTTATCATATTGGCCAGGCTGGTCTCCGAACTCCTGACCTCATGTGATCCACCCTCCTCAGCCTCCCAAAGTCCTGGTGTGAGCCACCTCACCCATCCCCTCTTCACTAATTTTTAATTTACATAATGAATTCTGATTTGGATCCCATGTATTGAGTTTTTCCATTTAGTTACTGTATTTTTAGCCTGAGAGTTTCTCTGTAGTTCTTCATAATTTCTGTATGTTGGTTGACCTCATTTTCTTCATGCATTGCTTTCATGATTTCTTGAAGCTGTCGCTTAATTCAATGAGCTTCAGACTTTTTGGGGGGTGGGGGTGACAGGGTCTGACTGTGTCCCCCAGGCTGGAGTGCAGTGGTGCAATCTTGGTTTGCTTCAACCTCTGCTCTCCAGGCTCAAGCAATCCTCCCACCTCAGCCTGGTGAGTAGCTATGGATGTGTCCTCTCCAGGTTTTTCCTTATAATGTCCGGACTGAAGTTAATTTAAGTGTGTGTAGATGTGATTTTAAATGTGTCCTGGAAAGCATTAATGGAGAAGTCCATGATTTTTTTGAGACAGAGTCTCACTCTGTCGATAGGCTGGTGTGAAGTGGCACTATCTCAGCTCACTGCAACCTCAGCCTCCCGAGTTCAAGTGATTCTCCTGCCTCAGCCTCCTGAGTAGCTGGGATTACAGGTGCATGCCACCACACCAAGCTAATTTTTGTATTTTTAATAGAGTCGGGGTTTCAGCATGTTGGCTCAGATGGTCTTAATCTCTTGACCTCGTGATCCACACGCCTCAGCCTCCAGAAGTGTCAGGATTGTAGATGTGAACCACCATGCCCAGCCAAGCCCATGGTTTTTGTAGAAAACACATTATTTGCAGTATATATTTACATATATTTTTATTTTGAGAAAGACTCACTCTGTTGCCCTGGCTGGAGTGCAGTGCTATGATCTCAGCTTATTGCAACGTCTGCCTCCAGAGTTCAAGCAATTCCCCTGCCCCAGCTTCCCAAATAGCTGGGATTACAGGCGGTTCCCCCACCATGCCCAGCTAATTTTTCTATTTTTAGTAGCTATGGGGTTTCATCATGTTGCCCAGGTTGGTCTCAAACTCCTGACCTTAAGTGATCCACCTACCTTGGTATCCCAAAGTGACAGGGTTACAGGTGTGAGCCCCCATGCCTGGCCATATACATATATATTTTGTTTGTTTGTTTGTTTGTTTGTTTGTTTGAGATGGAGTCTCACTCTGCATTCTAAGCTGAAGTACAGTGGCACACTCTCAGCTCACTGCAACCTTCACCTCTGGAGCTCAAGCGATTCTCCTGCCTCAGCCTCCCAAATAGCTGGGACTAGAGGCGTGCACAAGCACACCCAGTTAATTTTTTTGTATTTTTAGTAGAGACTTGGTTTCACCATGTTGCCCTGGGTGGTTCGAACTCCTGAGCTCAGTTGATCCACTCACCTCGGCCTCCGAAACTGCTGGGATTTCAGGTGTGAGCCACCGCACCCTGGACACACACACACACACACACACACACATATATATTTTTTGAGACGGGGTCTCGCCCTGTCTCCCAGACTGGAGTGCAGTGGTATGATCTCGGCTCACTGCAAGCTCCATCTCCCGGGTTCACGCCATTCTCCTGCCTCAGCCTTCTGAGTAGCTGGGACTACAGGCGCCCGCCACCACGCCCGGCTAATTTTTTGTATTTTTAGTAGAGATGGGGTTTCACTGAGTTAGCCAGGATCCCGGACATGTGTTTTTTATATTTTCCATAAAACTGAGACTTCCACAGTGAGTTAGATTTTAAAATCTATAATGGGAAAGTACAATAAAACACAACTGTACAGAAAAAACTGTTCAAAAATACCTTAGCGTGGGTTTGTCAGAACACAGTCTTGGATCAAATCAATGCTTATTTTCTCTTTTCTCATTTTCTGTGAAGGTGATAACTCCTCCATAACGTTTTGTGGAAATGTGTGTTTCATTTTAGGGACACTTGACTTTCAGGGATGTGGCTATAGAATTCTCTTTGGCGGAGTGGAAATGCCTGAACCCTGCGCAGAGGGCTTTATACAGGGAAGTGATGTTGGAGAACTACAGGAACCTGGAGTCTGTGGGTGAGGAAAATGTGTCTCCACACGTGAGGAATCTGCCTTTGTCTTTCTTGGCTCTTCCTGATTTTGTATTCTCTTTTGAGATTTTGTGATACATGCTTTTGATGTACATGTCATTCTTTTCTGCAGTGATGACCCTCCTATCTGTCATGGATAGCTTCTTAGAGACTCTCCTATGGAGTGGTTTTACATAAAAACAGAACACTGTTTTTTTTTTTTTTTTTTTTGAGACGGAGTTTCGCTCTGTCGCCCAGGCTGGAGTGCAGTGGCTGGATCTCAGCTCACTGCAAGCTCCGCCTCCTGGATTTATGCCATTCTCCTGCCTCAGCCTCCCGAGTAGCTGGAACTACAGGCGCCCACCACCTCACCTGGCTAGTTTTTTTGTATTTTTTTAGTAGAGACGGGGTTTCACCATGTTAGCCAGGATGGTCTCGATCTCCTGATCTCGTGATCCGCCCGTCTCAGCCTCCCAAAGTGCTGGAATTACAGGCTTGAACCACCGCTCCTGGCCCAGAACACTTATTAACACTCTGACTAATACAATTGAATATCATCCTGCTCTAGGCAGAGATGTCCCTGGAAGCCCTGAGCAGAATTGTCAGCATGGCCCAGGATACGAGATTGAAAGCATGACACTGACACTGACTGACAAGTGTTTCCAGCTGTGGTTCTGGTTTTGTTTTGTTTTGTTTTTTTTGAGACAGCGTCTCCCTCTGTTGCTCAGGCTGTAGTGCACTGTTGTGATCTCAGCTCATGACAACCTCCACCTCCTGCATTCAAGCAATTCTCCTACCTCAGTCTCCCAACCTAACGGGAATTACAGATGCAAGCCACGATACCTTGCGAATTTTTGTATTTTTGTTAGAGATGGGGTATCACCATGTTGACCAGGCTGGTTTCAAATTTCTGGTCTCAAGCAATCTGCCCACCTCAGCCTCCAGCCAAGTGTTGGGATTACAAACCTGAGCCACCATGCTTGGTCTTTCATTCTGGTTTTAAAGGAGCATCACAGAAGCATCTCTCCCTGGTACTGTGACAGTGATCATCACATAAACTAATGATCAGCTTCTCTAAGCAGCAGTCACTGCTGTAGAAGTTCCTCCTAGGGAGGACATGATTCAGGCTTACTGCCTCATGTATATGAGGCTCTTGACTGAACTGTTTTTGTTTGACATGGAATTTTGCTCTTGTTACCCAGGCTGGAGTGCAATGATGTGATCTCTGCTCACTACAACCTCTGCCTCCCAGGTTTAAGAAATTCTCCTGCTTCAGCCTCCTGAGTAGCTGGGATTACAGGCACCCACCACCATACCTGGCTAATTTTTGTGTTTTTAGTAGAGAGAGGGTGTTCTTAAACTTTGAAGATCATATTTGGAAAGTTTAAAATAAGTATTGCTTTTTGTGTAATATCAACATTTCAATATTAACCTTTATTTACCATATGTACTTAATTGGAAACCTATTGGTTTTTATATTTTTTAGACAGCTCTTTTAAAACCATGATGGAGTACTCATCAACAGGGCAAGGCAATACAGAAGTGTTACACACTGGGATGTTGGAAAGACATGAAAGTCATCACATTGGAGATTTTTGCTTCCCAGAAATCAAGAAAGATATTCATGACTTTGAGTTTCAGTGGCAAGAAATTAAAAGAAAGGTCCATGAAGCACCCATGACAAAAATCAAAAAGTTGACAGGTAGTACAGACCGACATAATCAAAAACATGCTGGAAACAAGCCTATTAAAGATCAGCTTGGATCAAGCTTTCATTCACATCTGCCTGAACTGCACGTATTTCAGACTGTAGGGAAAATTGATAATCAAGTAGAGAAGTCTATCAACAATGCTTCCTTGGTTTCAACATCCCAAAGAATTTCCAGTAGGCTTAAAACCCATATTTCTAATAGGTATGGGAAGAATTTTCTCCATTCTTCATTATTCACACAAATACAGGAAGTACACATGAGAGAAAAACCTTTCCGATGTAATGAGTGTGGCAAAGCCTTTAATTATAGCTCACATTTAAGGAGACATCACATAACCCATTCAGGAGAGAAACAACATAAATGTGATGTATGTGGCAAAGTCTTTCATCAAAAGCAATACCTTGCATGGCACCATAGAGTCCATACTGGAGAAAAACCTTACAAGTGTAATGAGTGTTGCAAGACCTTCGGTCACAAGTCATCTCTTACACGCCATCATAGACTTCATACTGGAGAGAAACCTTACAAATGTAATGAGTGTGGTAAGACCTTCAGTCAGACATCATCCCTTGTAGGCCATCGTAGACGTCATACTGGAGAGAAACCTTACAAATGTGAAGAATGTGACAAAGTTTACAGTTGCAGATCACAACTTGAAACACATAGGCGAATTCATACAGGAGAGAAACCATACAAATGTAAGGTTTGTGACAAAGCTTTTAGGCATAATTCATGCCTTTCACGCCATAACAGAGTTCATACTGAAGAGAAACCTTACACATGCAATGAATGTGGCAAGGTTTTCCGGCGTGATTCATACCTTGCACAACATCAGAGAGTTCATACTGGAGAGAAACCTTACACATGTAATGAATGTGGTAAGGTTTTTAATCAAAAAGCACACCTTGCATGTCATTATCGACTTCATACTGGAGAGAAACCTTACAAGTGTAATGAGTGTGGCAAGACCTTCAGTCAGAAGTCATCCCTTGTAGGCCATCGTAGACTTCATACTGGAGAGAAACCTTACAACTGTCATGAGTGTGGCAAGACCTTTGCTCGAAATTCATCCCTTGTAATTCATAAGGCAATTCATACTGGAGAGAAACCTTACAAGTGTAATGAATGTGGCAAGGTTTTTAATCAACAATCAAACCTTGCACAACATCAGAGAGTTCATACTGGAGAGAAACCTTACAAGTGTAATGAGTGTGGCAAGACCTTCAGTCATATGTCATCCTCTGTATACCATCATAGACTTCATAATGGGGAGAAACCTTACAAGTGTAATGAGTGTGGCAAGACCTTCAGTCATATGTCATCCTTTGTATGTCATCATAGACTTCATACTGGAGAAAAACCTTATAAGTGCAATGAGTGTGGCAAAGCCTTTAGTGGGCAGTCATCACTTACTCATCATCAAGCAATCCACAGTATAGGCAAACTTTACAAATGTAATGATTCTCACAAAGTCCTCAGTAATGCTACTATCATTTGCAAATCATTAGAGAATTCATAATGAAGAGAGATCTTACAAGTGTAGTAAATGTGGCAGAGTTTTCAGACATCGTTCATAGCTTGTAGTTCATTGGCGAACTCATACTGGAGAGAAACCTTACAGATGTCATGATTGTGCAAGGTGTTCAGTCAAGCTTCATCTTATGCAAAACAAGAGAATTCATACAGGAGAGAAACCTTACAACTGTGATAATTGTGGCAAAGTCTTTTTTTTTCTTTTTGAGATGAAGTCTTACTCTTTCTCCCAGGCTGGGGTGCAGTGGCACAATCTCAGTTCACTGCAACCTCCGCCTCCCAGGTTCATACGATTCTCCTTCCTAGCCTCCCGAGTAGCTGGGACTGCAAGCATGTTCCACTAAGCCTGGCTAATTTTTGTTTTTAGTAGAGACAGGGTTTCACCATGTTGGCCTGGCTGCTTTCAACTCTTGACCTTGTGATCTGCCCACTTTGGCCTCCCAAAGTGCTGGGATTACAGGCACGAGCCACCGCGCCCAATGTGGCAAAGTCTTTACATTCACACCACATTAGACATCAGAGAATCTATACTGGACAGAAATCTTACAAATGTCATAGGTGAGGCAAGGTCTTTAGTCTGAGGTCTCTCCTTGCAGAACAGCAGGAAATTCATTTTTGAGATAATTGCAGTGGCGTGATCTCGGCTCATTGCAAGCTATGCCTCCTGGGTTCACACCATTCTCCAGCCTCAGCCTCCCGGGTAGCTGGAACTACAGGTGCCCGCCACCATGCCTGGCTAATTTTTTGCATTTTTAGTAGAGACAGGGTTTCACTGTGTTAGCCAGGATGGTCTCGATCTCGTGACCTCGTGATCTGTCCGCCTCGGCTTCCCAAAGTGCTGGAATTAAAGGCATGAGCCACTGCGCCCAGCCATCAGTGTATTTCTTGAATGTATTTGATTGATGTCTAATGCCTCCCTAAACAGCCTAAGAACAAGCTGTTCCCCATTACCTTGGACACACGTTCTCAGGACCTCCTGATGGTCATTCATATTTAGCTCAGAATAAATCTCTAAAGATATTTTACAGAGTTTGACTCTTTTCCATGATAAGAATAACTCATTTTAAGTGCAGCATGAAATAACAAATGTAAGGAACACTTGGGCAATTTATATGCACTGTTTAAATGTCAGTGCCTTTTTTTTTTTTTTTTAATTACTTTTTTTCTTATTGACATGGAGGAGGGAGCTCTGGGGTAGAGGGTCTTACTTTGTCACCCAGGTTGGCCTGGACCTCCGGGCTCCGCGATCCTCCTGCTCCTGCTTCCTGAGTAGCTGGGACCCCAGACTCCCGCCACCCTGCCTGCATCCCTGCTGCGTTTAAGCAGCAGGTGGTGACCTCACTCCTCCCTGACCTGAGCCCTCCCCTTTGCACCCCATGGGGGTGGCCCTAGGGAAGTCTCAGGAGCTGAGCACAGGGTGGACTCTCCCACTCCAGTGAATGGAGAATTGAAAGGGAGAGGATTTCTCTCTTGTTCTGTGGGCCATCAGCATGAAGTTGTAGGTTTCGCTCAGGCAGGGCTTTGCATTTCGCATTCTAGTTTGCATTTCTGCCCTAGACAACATCGAGGCTTTGGAATTAAATTGCTAAAATTAATTTCATTAGCAAGGAACTTTCCCGTGTCCAATTACCGCCCCACGTAGACTTCTCAGAGAGGTACTATTTCCCTGACTGCTGAGCTGCTTCAGCCTCACTGGCGGGTTTTGCCTCCAAAACCCGGAAAACAGAGGCGCCCAGAGCGAGAGGGAGGGAAGCTCCCCCTCCTTCCCGCCCCCGCAGACCCCTCACAGTCCAGGACTCTTGTCCCTCGCGCCAGGTCACCTGTCCTGGGCACCCCGCCCCTGCCTCGCTCAGACCCAGTCCACCTCTTCGAGTCTGTTCCCGGCCTCACCGAGGCCCCGCCCACCTCCTGGGTGTCCCGCCCAGGCCTGGCTTCTGTCCTTTTCTGATTGGCTCAGACCCGGAAGCAGATAGCGTGTACTGAAGGTTGCGCGGCTGTCTGTGCGCTTCCCAGTTTTCTGGTGCTGCTTTACCGGGGACATGGGGTCCCCACAGACCTGGAAATTTCAGCCCCTCTTTCTAAACCCAGAGCAAATTGAGACGTCCGGCTGAGAGTCCGTGAGTGGCTTCCTTTTGAGTTTAAAGTCGCCCTGACGCCGGTCCCGTCCCCGGTCTTTCTGCAGTATTGTGCAGCCACCTCATGTCGCGAAACTTTCCTTCACAAAACGCTTCCCGATCCGTCCTCCCACCTCGCGCTGTTTCAAGTCCTCACCCGCGAGCTGGATTCTCGCCCTGGGCGCCTAGTAGCCTCGCTGTTACGTCGGCCTCTGGAGCGCAGCGCCGCAGCCCCAATCCCCAGGAGGCCGAGTCCTCTGCCTGATCCTGGGATCTTGCAGACCCCACCCCTGTCCGAAGGCGCCGTCGCCCCCCACCTCCCTCCTCCTGCCGGGCCCAGCTTCTCCCCAGTTCCAATCCCTGGAAAACGTGCTCTTCCTGGAGGCAGCCCTCTTCTCCATCCTCTTATTCCATCAGGAAAGCACTCCAGAGCGGGGAGTGGGTCTGAGCGAGCATCTCCAGGGCCCCGTTTACAAAGTTTTGCGGGGTTAAAGTATTTCTTTTGAGGTCCCTATGGGCTATTCCTTATCTGGATGAAGGATTTGGCCTTTGGCCAGTGAAATGCTGAGGTGAACGGGCCCGAGGCCAGAGCAGATGGGTGCCCTATGCAGATGAAGGTATGGCCGGCGCTTGAAACTTCCACCGCCTGGGTTCAAGCAATTCTTCTGCCTCAGCCTCCTGAGTAGCTGGAATTACAGGCATGTGACACCACAACCAGCTAATTTTTGTATTTTTAGTAAAGATGGGGTTTCACCATCTTGGTCTGGCTAGTCTTGAAATCCTGACCTTGTGATCCACCCGCCTCAGCCTCCCAAAGTGCTGGGATTACAGGCGTGCACTACCATGCCCAGCCTAATTATTATTAAATATATTGTTATATTTAAACATCACATGATATATATATTTGTTTTGTGGTAACACTCCAAGCAAAGCTGCAGCTTAGGCCCTTGGCCATAAGGCATTTCCTTTCCCTGTCACGTCCTCCACCCTCCTTCCAACCTCACTGGGGAGCCGCTACCGTCAGTTCCGTGTTAGGTGTCAGAGCAAGCCTTGTACACATGTATTTCTGCATAGTTATGAGACTTTAGGAAAAATTCTGCAGTAAATTAAAATTTTTTATATATATATATTTTTTACTTTAGGTTTGGGGCTACCTGTGAATGAATGGGGTTTGTCATACAGATTATTTCATCATTTAGATATTAAACCCAGTACCCAATAGTTATTTTTTATTTACTTTTTTTTTTTGAGACAGAGTTTGGCTCTTCTTGCCCAGGCTGGAGTATAATGGCATGATCTCTGCTCACTGCAACCTCCGCCTCCTGGGTTCAAATGATTCTTCTGCATCAGCCTTCTGAGTAGCTGGGATTACAGGTGTCCACCAGGACATGTGGCTAATTTTTTGCATTTTTAGTAGAGGCAGGGTTTCACCATGTTGGCCAGGCTGGTCTTGAAGTCCTGATCTCAGGTGATCCACCTGCCTCGGCCTCTCAAAGTGCTGGGATTAGAGCAATGTATCCCCTTACCTAGCTGAATTTTAGTTTCTGATCTTTCACTGTGGCCATTGTCATCTCTGAAAACATCACTTATGCTCTGTCTCATCTGGATACTGAATGTCACTTGGTGTGTCAATAAAATATTCTAACATTGCTTTTTTTGTTTTGTTTTGTTTTTGGAGACAGAGTCTTGCTCTGTTGCTCAGGTTGGAGTGCAGTGGCTTGAACTCGCCTCACTACAACTTTTGCCTCCAGGTGTCAAGCAATTCTCCTACCTCAGCCTTCCCAGTAGCTGGGACCACAGGCTCACGTTGTTACACCTGGCCAATTTTTTGTATCTTAGTAGAGATGGGGTTTCACCATGTTGTCCAGGCTGGTTTTGAACTCCTGAGCTCAGGCAATCTGCTTGCCTTGGTCTCGAACTGCTAGAATTACAGGCGTGAGCCACCATGACTGGCCGCTACCATTTCCATAACGGGAACTCTGCATTGATTTTTTGTTTGTGTCTTTCTTGTATTATCCACAAACATAAAATTCATACTGAGAGGGTATCATGACCTCTTTATAAAGTATAATCAAACACAACTGGGAAGATATCATGTGGTAAAAAGTCCCTTACTCGGATGTCAGAACATTCACTACAATTAAATCCATGCTTTCTCCTCTCTCCTCTTCTCATGTTCTGTAAAGATAAGAACTCGTCCCATAACCATTTGCTTAAAATGTGTTTTCATTTCAGCGTCTATTGACATTCAGGGATGTGGCCATAGAATTCTCCCAGGAGGAGTGGAAATGCCTGGACCCTGCTCAGAGGACTCTATACAGAGACGTGATGCTGGAGAATTATAGGAACCCGGTCTCCCTGGGTGAAGATAACTTCCCTGCTGGGGGTGTGCCCTTGTGTGTCTTTGCCTTTTCTTTTGTTGCCTCTTGGGAGCCGCATCCTTGCTTGACTAAAATGGAAGCCGTATTGATTTTGAAATGAAAAGCTTCATGATGTAGCATCTGGACTTTCACTGTCCCCTTTGTTTAGATCTTCTGCTTTCTTCATGATAGCTCAGTGGGGCTTCCAGAAGTAAAGTAGGCATAAAACCTTATGGCAGCCGGGCGCGGTGTCTCAAGCCTGTAATCCCAGCACTTTGGGAGGCCGAGACAGGCGGATCACGAGGTCAGGAGATCGAGACCATCCTGGCTAACACGGTGAAACCCCGTCTCTACTAAAAAATACAAAAAACTAGCCGGGCGCAGTGGCTGGCGCCTGTAGTCCCAACTACTCGGGAGGCTGAGGCAGGAGAATGGCGTGAACCCAGGAGGCGGAGCTTGCAGTGAGCCGAGATCCGGCCACTGCACTCCAGCCTGGGCGGCAGAGCGAGACTCCGTCTCAAAAAAAAAAAAAACCTTATGGCAGGTCAGGCATGGAGACCCACGCCTGTCATCACTCCCACTTCAAGAGGCCAAGGCTTCTGGATTACTTCAGGTCAGGAGTTCGAGAGAAGCCTGGTCAACATGGTGAAACCCCATCTGTATTAAAAATACAAACATTAGGCCGGTGTGGTAGCACACATTTGTAATACTAGCTACTAGAATGGCTAAGGAAGGTGAATCGCTTGAACCTAGAAGCAGATGGTTGCAGTGAGCCAAGACTGTGCCTCTGCACTCCAGCCCAGGGAACAGAGCAAGACTGTCTCAAAAAAAAAAAAGAAAAACAAAACCTCATGGCAGACTTTAAAGATATCCAGTTCTGGTTGGGTATGGTGGCTCACACCTGTAATCTCAGCATTTAGGGAGGCCAAGACAAGGGAATCACCTGAGGTCGGGAGTTCGAGACCAGCCTGACTAACATGGAGAAACCTCCTCTCTACTAAAAATACAAAATTAGCCAGGGGTGGCGCATGCCTGTACTCCCAGTCACTCAGGAGGCTGAGGCAGGAGAATCTCTTGAACTGGGGAGGTGGAGGTTAGATCACGCCATCGCACTCTGGCCTGGGCAACAAAGTGAAACTCCGTCTCAAAGCAAACAAACAAACAAACAAAAAAACCCAGTTTCCTGTTTGCTTCTCCTGTGCTTTCGATTCAGTAGTTCTTGGAAGAGACCTTGATGTCCACATATTACATATTACAATGCTCTGTAAGCCTTAAGAAGTAGGCAGTGAGTGGAGGAATTTGTGAAATATTTTTCTAGATTTTTCTGTAATGTCTTCTTTCCTACTGAAACGTAGGGCTGGGACTCTAGAAAAGCTCCAGCACATTATGTTCCTTTCTTTTTATAAGTAGGAGTCTCTTTCTGCCCTGTTGTCACCATGTAGGGGCAAGGGAAAGAGCCCTGGACTGTGGAGAGTGAAGTGAAAATAGCAACAAAATCCAGCTGGGTGGGAATGTATTACAGGTGTAAAGGCAGGTAAGAGCTCAGATGGGCA